GTGCGTGCGTGCGTGCGTGCGTGCGTGCGTGCGTGTGTGTGTGTGTGTGTGTGTTTCTGTGTGTGTGCGTGCGTGCATGTGTGTGTGTGTGCACGTGTCATGTCTGTCTGCACCTGTGCACTAGTCTGTGTGAGTGTGCTTGCATGCACTTTCGTGCACACTGTGGGGAGCATAAGGTGTGTGAGTTTGTCTGCAGAGCATAGCAACCTTTTGCCCGTTTATTGGGGAAAGGGTCCAGAAGATCTGGCTGGGAAGGGAGGTGTTGTTGGTCCAGAGTCCCCGATATGAAAATGTTCTTACTGTGCTATGAGCAAACGTTTTGTGGCTCTTGTCGTTTGAGGCCGATTCTGTTGGTCTTCATCATAAAATGCCCAATCCAAAAGTAGGAGCACGATTTAGATGTCAAAACATTCTGTAACATGTGGTGTGCTGCAGGCAGAAAATTTGGTTATGGTCTGTCGTTTGTGTTGGGGGTTAACAATTCGCTTGGAGTCTGGTTGGGTCCAGTTGGACAGGGTAAAGATGCAGTATCAAAATAGTGATTTCCATGGTGGTGTGCAGATGGGGATGTTGGATTTATTTGGGGTTGCCAGGCTGAATTTATCATTCATAGTCGAATTTGCAGTGTGCTATGGGGTAGTTTCATTGTATTGCTGGTATATGTGGAGGTGGTGTTTTCAATGTACCGGGTTGCCTGCTGCGAGTCCAATACACGATCGATGGGGGAAATCTGCTTCAGCAGAAAATGCCCTGTTGTTCACTGGTAGTTTTTCTACTGTACACAGACACTTTTACTGTGCTGTACAATTGGAAAATCCGCTTCAGGAGAAAATGCCGTGTTGTGTCGTGTGCATGTTGTGATTTGAATGTGAGTGGCGGCGTTTCACTTCGGTAGTGCCATGATGCGTCATAAGTTGAAACAGGATGTTGTTTCTGCTTCAGTAGAACCGTAATGCTGCGCCATTATGTGGAACAGCAAAGCGATGCTCATGTGGTATTTGTGAAGGCTCAATGAAAGGGAGTGGGAGTGGAAAGATCCAATAATGTTGTTTCGCAAGATTTGCGAGTATGCAGCGATGGAAATGATCCTGGACTGGCTGTCTACAAAAGTGCAGTGTAGTTGAATTCAGCGGTCGTTGGCTGTCCTAACTCTCAGTGATCTGGTGGAGGGCGTGCCAGAATGGCTGCCATAGCTTTAAATTGCATGGTTTTGGCTGAGTACTGTGAGCAACACGCTTTGCTCATTGGACAATGAATTCCTGATATTCCATTGTCTTGAAATGTGAATTATGTTGGTGTATGTTTGATATATTTGTGACGTCGTTGTGCACCTACGCTACCAGCCGGGCCGCCCGGGTCACCTTGTTTGCCAGGGCTACCCGGCCTTGCGAAGACCAAATGTGGTCCCAGAAGAAGGAAAAAAAAAAAAAAAAAAGTCTGAAAAAACCAATGGTATGCAGAAAAAAAAGTGAACAACTTTTAACGAATTTCTTTATCGAATTTCAAATAAAAAATAAAATGGAAATAAAAAATAAAATAATTAAAATTGTTTTTTTTTTTTTTTAGGCCTGGCTAGGGAAGTGGTCCCGGGCCACTCTGGAAGGCTAGTTTGTTATGTTCTTATTCACCCGATTCTCTCCGTGGTTTGTTTGTGGTATAAGTGTATCCGAATGGGAAAATGACGGAGCATATGAATAACCTTGTCCCCGGAGATACACTTGATGTCAGGGGGTGAGTTTCTGATTGTCCTAGGGATGGCGTAGTTGGTGGATCATATCCATTGGAAGCGCTCATTCAACCATCCAATCTCTGGGTTTGTTTTTTGAACTCCATGCGCCTTGGCTTGTCGACTGCAGCAGCTAGGATGTGTATGTGTGTGGGGGGTGTGGGTAGAGGGTCTGATGTTGTATGTGTTGCTGCTTATTGTGTAGGTAAAGTTTTTTTTGCGGGGGATTTATGCCCGCATTGGGAAATGGGAGAATGTCTCCCTTGCTCCCTCACTCGCCCCTACACTCACTGCCTTGCTCGCTCTCTGCCTCCCTTGCTTCCTCCCTCTCCTTTTGTTGCCCCATCTGTCTGGCCTTTCCCCTCCCTCCCTGGCCCCGTTGCCCCCCTGCCTCCCTCCCACCCTCCCTTTCTCACATACTACTGACCGGGATGGTTTGAGAAGTGGCATTTTGGGTACCTCCAATCCATGGGTGAATGCTTTCATGTTGTTTCCTCCTTAGATGAGATGATGGTGATAAGAAACGACAGATGTCAGGTTGTATGTTGCTTTCACAGAGACGATGTTGCACTGCTTGAAACAGTCTATTCTTATTTTCCTTACACTAACGATGTGCTTTTCTGTTTTTGTTGATCCCCTACATAGCAAACATGAAGAAGCGAATTGGTATGGTATGTATCCATCTTGATGAAGTCTCTGGGCGTTTCGACAGTTCTTTGCATGTGTGTGTGTGTGTGTGTGTGTGTGTGTGTGTGTGTGTGTGTGTGTGTGTGTGTGTGTGTGTGTGTATGTGTGTGTGTGAGAGAGAGAGAGAGGTGGTTGATGATGTAGTGCCTTGTTTATGGTCCACGAGTGTTGATATGGGGTGTTCCTGTAGGCCATGAGAATTGAGTGTGCACAATTTGCAGACCGTGACCATGGAAAATCTGACAGTCGATTTGCTTTGATGAAGTTGCCTCTTTAGGAAGGAGGAAGGCAATCAATGAATATTCCCTTCGGTGTGAGGTCTACCTGAACAAATCCGCAGCTAGGTTGAAAGTTGAGACCTCTACCCAATGAAAATGGTCGTTTTTCGTACCAGGCCGATTGTTTTCGTACACAAACCGTACCCGTTAATTTTGTGTTTTTTGAGATACATGCATGAACCCACAGCCCCACCTGGGAAAAGTGGATTTTTAAGCGATGTGGCTGTTAGTGCGCGGTGAGTCCTCCGGGGTAATGCCTACCAGACCGGAATGGTCTTCTCAAAGTTCCTTAGAATCCTTCCTCATTCTAAGATTAAATATTAAGGAAAGAGAGCTAAGATATACTCCTACACCCATGAAAAGTTAAAACCCTTCTATACCTGCCAAAGCCCCCTGCTTGACTCATCACCGACTTGGAAGGCAAGGCTGGATTCCGACTGCTCTGGCTATGCCAGCCGGCCTGCCAAGCCTCGGCTAGGTGACTGCCTTCATGTACTACTCTATTTGTTCATTCAGAATTGAACTGAAAATGTTACCTCTGAAAATCCATTGTCCTCCGCCTTTGGTGCCCCCCCCCCCMCCCCMCCCCCCCCTCCTCCTCCCCCCCTCCCTCCCCATGATTTCAAATTTCAATGCATATATTAATGAAATAAGAAAATACATAAATMTTTGAAAATGTGGTTGTTTTGTGTTGTTGCAGATTTGTGGTGGTAGTGGTATTACGCCCATGTTTCAGGTTCTTGACCGCATTGCAAAAACCCCTGAGGATACGACTTAGGTATGAGAGGACATCCCGTTCTCCTTTTTCAAGTTATTTATTCTTATTACCCCTCCCCTTCATTTTACAATACAAGGGAAGGTGACTGACTGGAGTATTTGAGAGTTGTTTGGCAGGTTTGATGTTGTAATGATATTCTCGGTCTGTCAGGGAAGGAGGGGGAACGGGTAATGCATGCCCCTACAGTGTGATATGCAGGAGTGGATGGAGAGGGTGTGAACAGGGCTCGGTTTCTGTGAGCCAGCGATTTAAACGGGGAATGGGGGGTTAGAGTTGGTGGGTAGGGTATGCAAAAAGCAAACGTGAGTCTCCAGTTTGTTGGGGCCTTCCTGGGATTTCTCGTCTATTTACCATACTTGCAAGCGCACGTCGTGCGGGCGGTTCCCTATGTGCGGCACACGTGCCCAACCGATCCCGTGCGGTGCATGACGTGTGAGGGGAATGATCCGTCACCCCCCTCAGAAAAAAAAAGGCTGGGGTCGAAATGCTGCGTTGGAGGCCCCCCGCCAAAATTATCAGCAAGATGAAAAAAAATATTACAGGAGTACTGCCTCACCTTGGTCCTCCCCTTCCTCATCCCATGTCTCCTCCTCCCTTCTCCTTTTCATCTCCTTCGACTCGTCCTTCTGTTTGTCCTCCTCCTCCTGCCCTTCCTCATCCTCCTGGTCCCCTCCTCCTCGTACTTCCTCATCTTTCGTGCCTCCTCGTGTCCTTCCCTTCTCGTGTCCTCCACTTCCTTGTGTCCTCCCCTTCCTCGCTGTCCATGTCTCCTCCTCCTCCTGCCCTTCCTCATCCTCCTGGTCCCCTCCTCCTCGTACTTCCTCATCTTTCGTGCCTCCTCGTGTCCTTCCCTTCTCGTGTCCTCCACTTCCTTGTGTCCTCCCCTTCCTCGCTGTCCATGTCTCCTCCTCCTCCTGCCCTTCCTCTTTTCCCTCCGTCCATCTCTTCCCCTCCCCCCATCTCGACGACTCCTCGTCGTCCTCGTTATCCTTGTCGTCCTCCTCCTCTCCACATCATCCTCTCCTTGACATATCCGAGTCTTCCTGTCATACGCCCCCACGTTCCCCCTCCCAGAAAAAAAGATAAAATAAATTTAAATAATAATAATAAAAATAAAAAACCTGCAAGATTCCGCACAGGCACCCCCCATATGGAACTCCGCACGGAACTCCGCACGAATGTGCGGCTCGTGCGGTTGCAAGTATGGCATTTACCATGGAAAAGAAGGGGGTGTTTCAGTGATTAGTCAGGCACCTACCCAAGGGTTCACACATGCTGGAATCCTACTGGGCCCAAGATTCTCGGAGGAGGAAACCAGTATGATCTGTAGGCCCTCCTTGAAGATAGGCATAGACCAGCCTGTAGGCTCTTAGGTAGGAGGAGATGGAGTTGTAATTATTTTCTGATTTTCTGCAGTTGTGTGGTTTGTAGGTTCCTGGTCATGCCATTGGCTGCTTTTTGTAGTTTGTTTGTTTGTTTTGGGCTCATCATGCAGGGAGTTCTTTTTTTTCTCTCACTACGAGAAGGGTGGGCTAAGGGTTGTCGATTTTAGCACTGCCCTGAAACTGTTCAGAATCTTCGTTACGCCTTGATTGTGGATTTGTGATTCATCGATGATTTTAAAGTCTTAAGGTTTGAATTTGATTGATTATGATAGGTAGAGGATAGAACGGAAGTGTTTGATGTACCAATCGAGATCTTTGATAGGTGAGACTTTCTTGATTGTACGTTTATGAATTGATGGATGGTTGAGTTCTGGTCTGAAGTGTGTTTTTTAACTTCCCTTTCAAGAAGTCCAATCATGTTTGTGAAAGAGGATTGAACAAAGGATTCAATCAAAGTTTGATGTGAATGCAATCATGGACACTGTTAGGTGGTGCTTCAGAATGGAGCTGTGTATGGTTGGCCTCTGATGCTCTAACATCAACCGAATTACGTATATCGCTTTTTGTTAAGCAATGTCACTCTGGTGTTTGCAAATATGTCAACCAGTGATATCTTGCACCGGAAAGAGCTTGATTGAATCTCCTTTTTGCATTTGGAGCTCGTTACGATTGTTCTCTTAGATTCTACTGGGAACCACATTGTGTGTGTATCGTGTTTGGTTTCAGATTTTCACTCTGGCATTTTTAAATGTGTTGGATGTTTGATATCTTGCTCCGGAAGGAGCTTGACGGTATGTCCTTTTTGCACCCGAATTAAGTTTAAAATGGAGCTGTGTATGAAGGTTCTCTACGCTCTATCGTGTACCAAATTGTGTGTTGTACTGTGTTTGGTTTCGCAAGGTGTCTCTGGTGTTTGCGAACGTGTCGGAAAGTGATATTCTGCTCCGGAAAAAGCTCGATCGCCTCTCCTTTTCACATACGAATGTTAAGGTCAGTATACATTTCTGTACTCTGGAGATTTGTATTGTAGTAATACTTCATAGATCCTATGTAACTACAAGTAGCAAAGATTGCAAAACTCTTTTGTCGTACGTGATAATTTATAATTACCAAACTGCCTCTGTGCGTCACAAGTGTCGTGCAACTGTCGGGCCATTCTTGTAGCAGTTCTGATCCCTGTGATGCATGTGGATCAATCAACTACTGTCTTAGTTCGCCGATGTGTACTTTCTCTTTGTAGCTGTGACAGGCATGGGTGTGGCATAACAACTGAGACGAACCAGTGGTCCCCATGCGGGTGATAAGTTTGAATCATGGTGGAATCAGATGCAAACAGTGTTGCACCGCCCAACGGCTGTCTCTTATACACATCTAGATGTGTCTACCCCCCCTCTCCCATTCTCTAAGTTTCTCAGCGGATTTGGGCTGTACTCAGCAAGCACAGTACAGCCCCGAACTCAGATTTGAAAAAAAATCAGTGGATGGTTGTTTTCTGACTGGTCGGCAGACCGCCGACAGGTCGGCCCTACAGATCGGCAGTCGGGTTCGGCGGTCGGCGGGGATGCAACCCTGGATGGAGACGAAAAAAAAAAAAACCAAAAAAAAACATAACCATATTGTTTATTAAGACATGAACCGTAAAAGAGGAGAACTGGCAGGGCCAGGGCTTGCTTTCTGATGGGTAAAAGGCATGCACCTGGCCGTGAAAACATCATACAGTCTCTGGGCCTTTTAATGATCTGGTAATTTCCATCTGTGTACTACTCGGGCTCATCAAACAGTGCTAAAAACTTTCACTATCACGCTGAATTGACTATCTAGAATGTGGGTCTATTGCTGTGCATCATGCTTGTAGTACTTATTGATCCCATGCTTTGCGATGTGGGGGCTTGAAACATTTACCCAAAGGGAGGCAAGGGGGGCTTGGGAACAGTGCTGCGAAGTAGGGGGCTTGGGAGCAGTTGAGGGCAGAGGGGCAGGGGAAAGGGCATGAGGACTCAGAATGAGAGAAGAGGACAACAAAAGAGGAATGAATGGATGCAAAGTTGTAGAGTGCAATAAAGAGTTTTTGGCGCTGGTTTCCGGGTTCATGAAAACAAATACTTCTCAGCTGCATCATTGTGGAGGAAGAAGAATAAATAAATAAATACAGATTGAGACAGAGGAAGATTGGAAGGGGTTGAGAACAGGAAGACATGGGGAAGCATAATTTTTAGCGTTGGAAGGGGAAAACAAGAGGACGTGGGGGGAGATGTGGAGTTGCTGAAACATGGGGAAGGATATTGTGGGTGGGGTGGCGGAATTTGCCTGTGGGGTGTTTGGCCTGTTGATGAGGTTGATTGTGACTTACGCAGGGCAGAGAGAAACACATCAAACCACTGGGGAGCTGTTAAACCACCGGTCCCCCTGACGTAAAAAACCTCAGGGGTACCGGTAGCGCCGTTTCACGACGGCTACCGGTAGCACAGTATGGAAAACCGGGCGGGCCTCCGTACGGAATTTGCAACAAAAATCAGAAATAAACCAAATCAGCGCGGCGAATATTTCACCATCAAAATGATTTTTTTTTTCCTGCTATTTTTCCCTGAAAGATCACGACTTAATCTACGGACCCTCAAATTTTCAGACATTTTCATTATTTCTTCTGAGCACGAAAAACTGGCGAAGTTGCCGCTTGCAAAATGGCGGGATTGGACCCGTCGGCCTCCGTACAACCCGACGCCTCTGTACGCTCGTCGCCCCTCCGTACAACCCGGCCCTAACTCACAGGGACTAGGGGTTTTCAGTGGCGGGGGGGTCGGTGGTTTAAGCAGTTCTCTTTTGAACGTTATGTGTGTGTGTGTGTGTGTGTGTGTGTGTGTGTGTGTGTGTGTGTGTGTGTGTGTGTGTGTGTGTGTGTGTGTTTTCCGAAGATAACAGAACCTCTCGGTTCTGGCTCCTGCCATTCTGGGGAGCAGCAGTCCGGTTCCTATTCCCCCGGCAAGTCAGATATGAATACAGAGAAAACACACTCATGCTCCTCCCCATTATGGTTGAGAGGCCCGAGTGGACGACATTGATTACTTTCATAGGGAAGGATGTACCACCCCTCACCCCTGCCTAAGTTAGCCTATATCTACCACCCACTGTTCCTCTGAGCTGCCTAGCTCCTAACTGTTGTCAACTGAGTTCTGTTCGGATAAAACTAAACGCTAGAGCTGGTGTCGGGAACCGGGATCTAATAGTTTGCTTAAACAATTATTTCTATCCTCTCTACCCAAGGAACTTCATTCTTAAACCTGTCTGTACTGCTGTTTCAGCCTTCTGCCTTTTCTTAAACCTGAAACCCTAGTCTATTCGGGTCTTCTGTTACGCGCAGATTGTAGTTTTTTCCTGTTAAGTCAGTAAGGTTTTTTAGAGGGTTTTGCCCTTTTTTGCCTATTCTTATGGATTTACCCATACTCTAGATCCTGTCTGTATTGCTGTTTCTGCCTTCTGCCTTTTCTTAAACCCTAAATTTAGTATATTCGGGTCGTCTGTTACACGCAGATTGTAGCTTTTTCCTATTCAGTAAGGTTTCTGGAGGGTTTTGCCCTTTTTTGC